AAAAAAAAAAAAAAAAAAAAAAAAAAAAAAAAAAAAAAAAAAAGGCTTCTATATTCCGCGCTCCGTTGAAAAGCAAATCGGCACAGAGATATAGAGAGGAGAGGCTAATTTTCCACGAATAACTAATATTTAATTGCGCAAAGATTAAGGAACGCGGGGAGGCAGTACATCACGGGCGACGTGAGCGCGGGGTTATAAGCAATTGGCACGAAATTTTGCGCCTGCCGCGGCCTTATTTTCTTTGGCCCCGGGAGCGCACGTGCAGACGCGATATATTATCCCGCGTTAATACGTAGAGTGCACATATATACGCATACCTGCGAGCGAAGCAACGGGAATCGATTTATAAAACGTTGCGTTTAAACCTCGCCCTGGGGCACGTTATACTTACGCCCGAAAATTTTCGCGTGTCAATAACGAAGGATTTTCCCGAAAAAATCGCCGTCCTACGTCTTTGGTCCTCTCGTCTCGTCCGCGTCGACTCTGCCAGACTTTTGATCGCCAAAGGATTTTCGTTCTATTTTTACGCATATCGCCTGCTTATTTTCGGTCTTATAATTTATGAAACGCGTGTGCCCCGGTGTACGCGATCATATCCCCCGCGCGTGAAATTTTGATTTCGTTCCAGAGCGCTCCCTCTCGCGCGTGAACGAGCGATTTTTCTCGCGGACGGATGACCGAGGGATGTTCTATTGAGACGGGTACTTTTCGGCTGCTGTCCAGTCTGTTTGGCTGTTGTTTGGTTGCTTTTTTTTCTCACACCAGTTTTTTTTTAGTATTATTTTCTACTGTATAGGTTCGCTGGGTATTGGGTTATCAGCCATCGTTGCGCAAATTGACCAATTTAGGGTTTTTTTTTTCCCCCTTGGGATCTGGTAGCAAGTTAATCGGTGAGTGTGGTTGTTCACTGGGGGTGTTATTCGGTTTGTTTGGATATTTTGCTTTTTTCTTTCTTTCTTTCTTTCAATGCGTGTATAAAACGTGTCCGAGGGTGTCAGTACAGTTCAAAGAAGAAAAGTTGTTTTTTTTCACGAGAGATGGACATAGATGCAGAAATTCTTTTTTGAGATTGAACGGAAAAGTCGGTGCAGAGATGTTTATCGAAAATTGGCAGTGGGGAAAGAGAGAAAGAGATAAAATCAGCTGGGTTGGAGCGAGTGAGTAAAGGTAAGTCGTGTAAGTACATCTGGCATTACAAAGTGAGAGAGAGAGAGAGAAGAGATAGTTTGCAATTAAGGCATATATATGTACATTTATACACACACACGTACGTGTGCATGGGTACATGTGTGTATACAAGTATGTAAAGAGGCTCAATAAAAGTTATTAAAATTTTGATCATCCGCCGACCAACTTTCGGTTATTGTCGTGTTATTTCATTATATTAATAATATTATTTGGTGCTTATATCCATTATTATTGTATTATTATTATTATTAATGTTGAAAGACCTTATAGTAAATTGTATAATTATATTGTGAAATTAATGTTGATTACTGTGGCTGTGATGATTGTTATTGTTATTAAGTATTAAGATTATTGTTGCTGTTGTTGTTGTTGGGTATTAATATTATGTAGTGATAAAATTTAATATTATATCGGCCAGTTATCGTATAGAATTGGGTTATGATGATGAGTTTGGTTTTCCCCGTCACGGAGAGCGTGAGGAGGGGGATAAAGTAGTCTCTCACCTTGCGCTCATCCACCACCTCGCCAGGGCGCAGCTTTCTATTTTCCTATGGACCAAATTGTTTAGAGCATGACAATGTGTAATGGAGATACATGTTATTTTTGTTGTTCGATGTTTTTGTTGTTTCTGGTGAATTTGCACCATACCGTGATTTCTTTTCTTTTTTATTTTTTTTTTTTTTGTTTCATTTTTATTTTGCTTTGTATTATTTGCTCTTTTCGAAATGGTTTACCTATAAGCGTAAATTTTATACTATCCATCTTTGCGCCGCTATTGCAATCGTTTTCTTCATCAACGATACCATACGGACATTGGCTGTTCCTCACTAAAACCCCTTCCTCTGTCCTTATCGTGTCAATAAATTTTTACCATTATTCATTTTTTTCCATGTCTATAGTCCGCACTGGCTATTTCAAAGGGTTACATCTACTGTGCATGATGACGTAGTTGCGACGATAAAATTTTTAATGTACAGCTTTGGCTCTTGTTTTATTTATTACCTCTATTACGTTACTGGTACGTTTGATTGAATAATATTAATAATAAAAAAAAAAATGAAAAAAAAGAAACGAAAGAGATGTGCTATACGGTACTGTATCATGAGAGGATTCGAACGTGAGGATCTAAGGAGATAGAGACAGATAGATAGAACAGACTAAAAAGTAATGATATCAAATCGCTTTTAGCAACAATTCAACTGTAAAAGTCTAATAATTAAGTGAGAAAAAAAAATACTACGCCATCTAAAATTCGAAAGAAAACCAAGTCAACTATGAACTAACATCTACGACTATAGTAAGAAAAGTATGCAACTTGTTGAAACGCGAGTATCGCAACATCAGTCTCTCTAAGAGAAGTGAACCCAATCGTACTTGGGGGAAAAAGAAAAAGAAAAAAATAACTCACAATTTACAGTTATTTTCGATGTATCAAAGTCAGGGAGTACGATTGAGTCCTGTCTTCCAAGTCAAACAATATAAGGCAAAAATAAAAGACATGGAAATGGAAGAAAAAAAAAAAACGAAAAAAAAAATTGATGGTAAAAATAATCGAATTTTCCATGGAAAGTACTGGGCAAAAACCATACCTCGTCGCTGATAATAAGACTGGGTCTGCGTCCAAGTTCCTCGGGTGGTATGAGGGAGCCCCTACGACTACTGGCACCACTTCCAGGCGCCAAGCTACCTCGACGGCTGGTCAAGGGTGTCACGTCCTTGATAACTTCGATCTTGGGCGTCTCGGCTGGCGCCTTGATTTCCGGTACCCTCTGCTCGGTTCGGAAACTCGATTAGTCGAAAGCACCAAAAAAGCCGCACCAAAAAAACCAAGCTACAGTAGCAGAGAGATAGCCGAAGAAGCGGAAGCGCAGCACGCACGATGGGGCAAAAAAAAAAAAAACGAGACACACACGGTGGTTAAAAAAAGGGTACTGGGGGTGGGGTGGGGGGGTGAGCCCCGAGGTATCAGATGTGACGGCAGTGTGGTCGGGCAGAAACTGGTCTGGTTAACGGACGAGGAAGATTCACGGCTAGCGACCCCCGCCCCGCGGCACGTAAGTAGGTAGGTAACTGCTCCTACTGCTGCAAGATGCCTCGTAATAATTTCCAAAAATATCCAAGGTCCCATTATGCTCTTGCCCATCCTCTCTTCCCTCGATGAGCATACTAAAAGATATATATATATATGTCTCTCCCTCTCTTTCTCTTTTTCAGTCGAGCGCAAATGACCGAACGGCCAGCCGACCACAACTGCATCCTAATTAATCTTGGGATCTGCAGCACCGTTTCAACCCCCTGCTCATGCTGGTCCGGTGAAGGCTGTAACATTCGACTTGCCCCTTGCCACTCGAGCACTGATCTCTCCCGCGTGCCATTATCACAAGTGGACAATTTACCCCCCCCCCCAGGAGCGATCTGTAAGTGAGGTATCGATGTTTAATGTAATCCAATCGATTTTCGGGTCAATCAGTCATTCGAAACCGATCGTAAAAAGTACTGTTCATTGATCGGTTACAATTGCAAGCAATATATATGTTGTTAGTGGCGTCAGCGTAGCGTTATATAGGCGTTTCGTCGATTCGAGTACGACTTGACGGAGCTTGCGTTGCATAAATCGTTCCCACGGTGTGGACTTATACGTCACCTTAGACTCAAACTTCTGTTTATCCGTGAATGGGCCCAAGGCATTGAAAGAATAAAAAAAAAAAAAAAATTAAAAAATAAGTAATAGTGAATTGGCTTATGTACGAAAACCAAAAGTTTTTGTTCCTCACCTGCGTTTGAGGACGATCGAGCTTGGTTTTCTCGCGCTTGATGTGTTCGCCAAAGTCGAATTCTTGGGGCTTCTCGAGGACCGGNTGTATTAACGTATTACAAAATGAATTATGATCAATTTATCATGATGCACGAGACATTTTGAATGTCAATTTGAAAGCTTGAAAATTAAAAAATAAGTAATAGTGAATTGGCTTATGTACGAAAACCAAAAGTTTTTGTTCCTCACCTGCGTTTGAGGACGATCGAGCTTGGTTTTCTCGCGCTTGATGTGTTCGCCAAAGTCGAATTCTTGGGGCTTCTCGAGGACCGGTCTTTCGTAATCTGGAATTTCGGGCAGTTCATAGCTCTTTTCCTTGTCGGCCTTCATCTTTTTCTTTTTCACATCCAACTTCTCGGCTTTTTCCCCGACTTTCTGCGAAGGTAAAATAAATCGAGTGAATTTTTCCAGGACTAGTCGATTTCAATGCCAAGTGCAGAAATGAAAGAGATTTCCCATCACCATTTATTTGTTTATTTTTTTTTTGATTATCATTACCATCGTAGAGAAAAGATTCGTGCATTCGAAGAAGATAATACCATACATTTAGTGTTAGATGTGATGCCATTGTTGTTACAATCGATAAGATGATGACATGTAGTGCGGATTAAGTTTAATGATTACAAAGCTCATTTTTACATGTATGTATATACAAAATATTTGTGCACATGTGGTTAAGTTGGTGCTTTGAATAATTGAATCGAAATTTAAGTTTATTAATAGTATTGAGTTAGGGAGCGCAGCCGTAACATTAAATCACTGAGATGATGAATTTATTAGGTGCAGCTGTGAAAAATACATATGTATTTTAATAAAGTTTTTATGTACAGATTATTTCAAGATTTTCCAATGTTAAAACAGATGTTTTTTAATTTATTGTAAATTTAAAAGGTTGTGAATAATAAACTATGTACATTGTGAATTATAGCGATAATTATGGAAAACGCTAAAGATTCTTAGATTTTTGTAGAATTGCGGTGCATAGGCTAAGAGTGAGAAATCAAAGGTAGTGGCGCAGAGATAGAATATTTGCGTGAAATTCGATCTCTTGAAAAAGAGAAGAACTAGCAGGAGAAGAAGAAGAAGAAGAAGGAGAAGAAGAAGAAAATAATTAAACGACTTTATACCTATACGTTTCAAGGAAAATCGATAAATTATTGAAGCTCTCGAGACGAATATTTTCATTTTAATTTTTTTTTTTTTTTTTTTTTTTTTTTCTGTCTCGTTAATTTAGTTTTGAAGTCAAAGAAGTCAGAGCACAGAGAGAATTAAATTAGAATGCAGCCATAAATTGAAATTTTAATTTAGAAGTAGTTAAGGGTTAACATTGTTTCTCAGGCCGAAACATCTTCAATTATTTCGGAGGATTGATATTTATCGCCTCGAGAATAGATGCTAAAGTGAGCATAGCGGCTTTTACTTAAAGAACATAATGGATTACACGCAGTAGTGAGAGAAAAAATAGCGAGAGTCGGAGAAAACCAAGTGAGGTATCGAGAAAAAGGGCAAAATTGTCAGCCATTAAGTGTACAAGATAAGTAGAGATTTGAAGGCCTTTTGTTTTATTGTTCCTCAGCTTTTTAGGGAATACCTTTAGTTCAATAGTGCCATTTTCGACCATCTCGGGTTCTTTCGTTATTTTTGGGACGGGCTTGAGTTTGATTTGAGTAAAATCAATCTGAGCTTCTTGCTTTGGTGGAAGCGGTCTACGCCATTTCAGACTCGTTCGGGGACTGCTATCTACAGACTGCGTGGGTCCATTTGATGACAAAATTTGTTTATACAGTTATTTTCTTGGTTAATCACATGTCAAATGGGTTACACGAGCTTTACTCGAAGCTTACATAAATTACTCCTTTTTTTCGGACACAAAGGTCTCAATATTTTGTGTTTTTGCACAGCCCCCTTTCTATAATAAGGCTCACAATTACATTTAAATTGACTGCTATGTATATATTTGTTTTTAGTCACAAATGACATGTTTTTAATCACGTGATTATTTTACTGAAACTGATTAAACTTATTACTAAAAATATGGAAATCCAGTATTTCATAATTTAAGAAAGCACTGGTTGAAAGCATCACAATACATTTAAATAAAATTTCAATGGTTTTATCTACAATGACAATTCACATATATATATATATTTGGATTTCAATAAATTTTCTACAATACCATAAAAACTAGTTAACAAAAATATGGTAATTACAAAATACTTTCTCAAACGTAATATGTAATCAAACATGAACTTTAAATAACAGTAACAGTCATTGGCAAGCTCACCTTAAGTTCAGCCTTTTCCTTGGTCAGCAGTTTCTTTTCGTCACCAACAGCGCCAGGTTTCAAGCTTGCCTTTCTACTGTCCGATTCCTGTAAACAACACAGCCTGTTAATTAACACTTCTACCGTCAAATTAATTAGATCCCAATTAGTGCGATTTTTTATTCTGGATCTGCAAGGTTTGTACATAAATGCTGAAAAATAAAAAAAGAAAAAAAATTATCATGGTTCCTCAGCAGCATCGTTAAGACATCCAGCTTATTTGTAGCAACTAAAAAATTGAAAAAAAATTTTTTGAGAGCATATTCGTGTAAATACGTCAGTGACATCGATGTGTTATTTTTGTTACAGTTTAAAAATTAGAGATTTAGTAACTGTCTAGTTGACATATTTACAAAGCTTAAAATAAACAATATTAAAATAATTTTATTTTATATGAGCTTGCGTTGCATAAATCGTTCCCACGGTGTGGACTTATACGTCACCTTAGACTCAAACTTCTGTTTATCCGTGAATGGGCCCAAGGCATTGAAAGAATAAAAAAAAAAAAAAATTAAAAAAAAAGAATAGAAACGAAACAATGATCGTTCCGTCGTAAATAATGTATCGATCCAGAGGGATCGAGCGTAAGTATTTCAAAGTAAACCGGCTCTCTCTCTCTACGGCTTACTTGTGGGATCACGATTATGGCAGCAAAGTCNAAAATTTTAGAAATTTATGTTTTTATAAAAATTAAATAAATAAAAATACATTTATAACATAACACTTATAAAGAATTTAGAATAATTTAACTAAGCTAAATTAACGATTCAAAGGATGCAATATGTATACCTTCACATTTTTAACTTTTCCAAATTCTTTGACGAAATGTGTCAATGTTGATGGTTCCTGTCAACAATATTCACATGATGAAACTTATGCACATTGTACCATCAAACTTTTACCGTTGTAAATAGATGATCTTATTAAAAAAAAATAGATTTACGACAAAAAACTTTCAAAAAGTTTTTTTATAATTAATACATGGTTACTGATCCAATACATGTAAGTAGATACCTTTTCATTTGTGATATCTTCAGGTTTTAAAGGTAGAAGTGTTGATGGCTTCTGGCAAAAGTAAAATATTTGTATATAATTGACAATTAGTTTATTTTTACGTTACATGCATAATATTCATAACGTTAACAACGCTCAGGTAAATATTTATAAATAAATTCAAGCTTTTTTATACGATTCATTTAAATAAATTATTCATGCTTTAAAAAAATTTNTATATGTACAACGTGGGTGTGTAAAATGTACCTCTGTTTCATCTCTTCTGCTAGATTGTTTAGATGTTGTATGTGATGACTCCTGTAGGTATCATTTTTGTTTGTAATGTATTATGAACTGTGTTTTGTATATAGTTTACAGTTTTAATTAAAAGTTGTGTAGTATGTAATAAGTGTATGTAAAATGAAATTGAGCACAGTGAATGTAAATGAAAAAGTACCTCTGTTGCAGTAATTTATTTTAGTGTATAGAAATAATATTGAATGGAGCTTTACTTCGTATGCTGAATGAATTATTTAAACTTAAAAAAATTTTTTTAACTTTTAAAAATTATTCCATAACTTTCTTGCTGACGAAAAGACATTGTAAAAAAAAATTTAATGCCAATATTTCAACGAAAGAGTGTCATTTGTACCTGTACTTCTTCTATTTTACCAGGTTTCTGATAAGGAGCACGTGATGTAGGCTTTAGCTGTCGAAAGAGTATATATGTTTACAATTCTTAATATTTTAGGGCTAACTTTCAGTTTCCATCAAAAAATATAAATTGTTATGCTCAAGGAATGCACAAGTGTTATTGAAAATATATAACGAGTAAAGGTTTTCGCGAGTACTAAAAATATATTTAATTTTCGTACGTTTTTAGCTGAGATTGTTTTGTATACCTTTACTTCTTCCATTGTTCCAAATTTTCTAGTAGCTGCAGGAGTTGTAGGTCTTAGCTATCAGAACAACCCGTAATTTATATTAATTTTTTTTAACCGAAATTTTAGCAACATGTACAATTTACGTTACGTTGTTTAAAAATATTTTAAATATTATTTTATCATATTTTTAATGCATGAAAATTAAAAATAAGTGTGTGTTTGAAACTTTTATTTTATTTAATTAAGAACATTGTTACCTTCAATCCTCCTATGTTTGAAGATTTTTCTGGTGGTGTTAATGAGTTTAGCTGTCAAGAGTATCACATTGTTCACGTTATTAATATTTACAAAGTAGTCACAGTTACATTATCTTTTAAAAGCTTAATGAATTAAATAAATTTATACATAAAAGATGAATAGTTTAAAAAAAACTAGTAGTTATTCAATCAAATAAAAAAATGATCAAATATTCAATTTAATATAACGAATATCAAAATACAAAAAAGTTATAGATATGATTAAGTGGTAAGTTACAAAAATTGTTTAAATTAATTTGTAAGTGGATCAATAAAAGTGTGTTCATGTTGAATGTGTACCTTTGTATCGTCTGGTTTTCGAACTTTTCTAAGAACGCCAAAGGGTGTTTCCTGTAGAAAGGATTATAATTGAAACATTTTTGTATCGACTGAGTTGAAGTAATGTATTAACGTATTACAAAATGAATTATGATCAATTTATCATGATGCACGAGACATTTTGAATGTCAATTTGAAAGCTTGAAAATTAAAAAATAATAAAAAATTGATACAATGCTCTTATACGTACAAGTAATGAATCTAAAACTTTTTATTAGAATAATTATATACCTTAACGTCTTCCGATGAGCTAGGTATTTTTAGTTTGGCTAATGGTTCCTGTCAAGTGTATTAAACATTTAGAAATATATTTGTACGATTTTAATCTATCAACTAATTTTATCTAAAAAGCTAGTACATATTTTAAACATATTTGTGTGTGTACCTTTGTGTCTGGTGTTTTTTGTGTCATTGTGTCCTGTAGAAAATATTTAAAGATAGAAAAACATTTTAGGGAAACTTATTTATAAGAATACAACTACTAACTAACATCTACTGATAGGCTATGAATTTTCAAAGGTACTTATCATAAGTTCAAATTAATGCATGAATATCAACAAAATAATGATTTGCAACAGTGCAATAACTATACTATGAATTGTAAGTTAGGAATGTGTACCTTCTCATCTTCTGGTTTTGCTATTTTTCTTAACTTGGCGCCGAATGGTGCTTCCTACGGGATGTGTTTAAAAATCGGAATGTAATAAGAAAATTTTTAGGTTATTTTGCTTGGCGATAGAAAAAAACAATTTTTACAACCCATTTACAAAACTATCGTGTACCTTATATTCTATTGACTGTTTTTCTAGTTTTATAGGTTTTTTTTGTGTAGATGTTGCCGTTTTCTGTAAAGAAAACATTCACATATATGTATAAATACGTGTAAATAAATTAGTGTATGGTATTTTTAAAGTGATGATTATTTTGCGAATTAAAAAATTATTTTAGGAGTCCTATTGAAACATGCATTGTGTGCAAAACATTTATTAAGTTGCTCTTAATGAAAATGAGTGTTGGATCAGTAAGAAGTTAAAAATGGTATAGAGTGAGTACCTTATCGTCTTCTGGCATGGATACTTTTCTCAATTTCGTGCCAAAAGGTGCTTCCTATAAAGTACGTTTGTAACCCAGAAATAACCAAATTTATTTATTGTAGGAATCTGATCTCTATGTCTACGATTTTGAGTACCCAAATTAAAAAAAATTATGGCATACCTTGAGTTCTAGTGATTGTTTTTCTACTTTTTTAAGTGTTTTTTGTGTCTGAGCTGATTTTTCCTGTAAATAGCATTTATCACTCAGTATTTTGTAAAAGATGGTTTAATTACAAGTTAATCATTTATGCACTTTTGACAGATTATGACAGTTGTGACTGTTACTGTGCTAGTATTGTTTAATTATATCAATCCCCATATAAATAATACAAGAGCTAAACAGCCATTTGTAGTAAAAAATAAATAATTAACAATAAATAGTTTGACTAAGTAAAATGGCGAGATGACGGATTAACATCAGTTTACAGTGCTAGCACAACTTTACTATTCTAAGCATTTATTTCTTTTATTGTAGAACCACGTGGTTAAGGTAGTACTGTCGGTGCCTCGCTAGTCAAAATAACAATGAGTATCAAGTGATACTAAAATTGCAAATATTCAAGTAATTGGTAAAAAGTGACGAAAAAAAAGGGATTTTCATCACGTTTAAATACTTATACGTATTGCGTGCTAAAAGTCAAAATTAAAAAAAATGTGTATGACAAAATTTGGAAAATCGAAACTCTATTACATGGTGTTGTTTATTTATGTTTTTTAATTATGTATCCGATTTTTCGAGCTTGAATTTGTAGTAGAAAAAATACGAAAAATAATTGAGTGAAGAAACGTCGTGATATAAGACGTATTTTAATCTGCATTTTTCATGTTTTTATCACGAGTAGCCCATTTTTTTTATCCATGTGCTTTAACCATTCTGTTAACATTTAGTTCAATTACCTTTCATTTTTCTTTCTTTGAAGAGTCATTTTAGTCTAATCCACGTTTGTCGCAGTAAAATATGTAACTTTCCGTACAATCCTATGTTTAACTTATAAGTCTCATAACTTTTTCTTCGTACACTCGAGTTCCACAAAATTTTTACTGATTTATTTTTAAATCTAAATTTACTCACTTGTGAAGTTTTATCAACATGTAAACAGTAATTTAGTTACCGAAAGTACTACCCTAAAACTCATAACAATACTTTGCTTTCAATCCTCAATACGAATCAATACAAATAAATGTTTTAATTAGTTTGTTTAAGATCCTTTTTATTTTAACTTTGCGCCGAACGGTGCATCCTATGCAGTGAGTATGACATTTGAAAGCAATATTAGCAGGTAAGTTTCAGACATTTGTATTAAATAACTTGCTAGCTATACGAATAACTAGCGATTTTTTAAATTTTAGTTAAAGTCTTCACTTTAGTATCTTATATTCTATTGTATCCTTTTTTTCAGATTATTTTGTGTTGTTAATGGTGCTTTCTGTAAAGGGTATTGATATTACAGCAAAGTATTCAGAGTAAACGTGTTCAATAATAAAAATAGTTAAAAATGAGTTCTAATTATTACTGTAAATGAGTGAGTGATAAAAGCAATCAAAACAATTGAAAGTAAGAAGTCAATTTGTACCTTATCATCTTCTGGCATAGATACTTTTCTCAGTTTTGCACCAAATGGTGCTTCCTATTAGTATGAATAAATTAAAGAGATCAAACGATTGAATTTTCAACTTTTTAAGTCATGAGATACTAAAAATTCTAATTTGGGAAACTAATCGCGTACCTTGTATTCAACTTCATGTTTTTCTACTTTTTTAAGTGCTTTTTGTTTTTGTTCTGGGATATTCTGTAAAAATGAGTTATTACATAGAAATTCGTATAATGTTAATGTATCTGCTTGCGAGTAGATGGTTAGAAAACTTAGTGGTTCAAATTTTAATGTTAATTAATTTTCGAAGTTACTTTTGAATGCTTGGTGTAATAACAATGTGAGTAAATATTTGACTAAGTGTGTACCTTTTCATCATCTGGGCTAGATACTTTTCTCAATTTGGCGCCGAACGGTGTTTCCTATCAAGTATGTATTAAACACGTAAGTTTTTTGATAATTTAATGAAAGAAATTAATTATTTTGTAAAATTTTGATAGAATAGCGTACCTTATAGTCTACTTCATTTTTTTCTACTTTTTTAAGTGTTTTTTGTGTCTGTTCTGGGGTTTTCTGTAAGAATTATTGACTACATAAAAAACTGGACAGTTGACTTTTGAATAATTGATAACTCTAACGGTAAATTCTAATTACTAGTACATATCAACAAAAGTGAATGTTTGACTGTATAAGTGAATACCTGTTCATCGTCTGGCAAAGACACTTTTCTTAATTTTGTGCCAAAAGGTTGTTCCTATCAAATGCATGTGCCCATTGCAATTAAAAAACAATAACATTCCGTAAATTTATTGATACTATTAGAATTAAAAAAAAAACTTCATAATTTCAAAATAATAAAAAACTCGCACCTCAAATTCTGTCGTTTCTTTTTCGTGTTTTTTAAGAGATTTTTGTGTAGCTGATGGCGATTTCTGTAAAAAGTATTTGTACTTAATATAGATAAGTGCGAGTGCATTGAATAGCAAACAATAATAATTAAGTTGATTATAACTGTGACCAGAAATAAGAGATTTATAATCGACTTAATCGTAATTAAGGACTTAAGAGTACCTTTTCATCTTCTGGCACGGATACTTTTCTTAATTTTGCGCCAAACGGTGCATCCTATTGGTAAATTAAATATCCAGAAATAAAAAAAATTACAATTTGAAGTACTGAATGTCTCAGATTTTGAATGTGCTTATGTAAGAAATAATCGCGTACCTTGTATTCTACTTCGTGTTTTTCTACTTTTTTAAGCGCTTTTTGTTTCTGTTCAAGGGTTTTCTGTAAAAATTAATTATTATACGGTAACTTGTGTAACGAAAACACACTTTCAAATGATTGGTTTAAACATTTTCATATTGAAATTAATAATTTATTTATTTTCCAAATTATTATCGAGCGTTTAGTGTACCTTTTCATCATCTGGTATGGATACTTTTTTCAGTTTGGCGCCAAACGGTGCTTCCTATCAAGTATGTATTTAATTTTAGAATGTAAGTTTTTTATATTATAAAATAAAAGAAAAGGAAAACGGAGAATTATTCAAAATTTTTTGAAGACTGTGTACCTTGTACTCTACTTCATGTTTTTCTATTTTTTTGAGCGCTTTTTGTTTCTGTTCGAGGGTTTTCTGTAAAAATTAATTATTACATGGTAAGTTGGATAATGAAAATTTACTTAAAAATGGATGGTTTGAAAATTTTGTTATTGAAATTAATGATTTATTTATTTTTAAACTTATTATCGAGTGTTTAGTGTATCAATATATGTATCTGACTTAGTGTGTACCTTTTCATCATCGGGCATAGATACTTTTCTCAGTTTTGCGCCGAACGGTGCTTCCTATCAAGTGTGCATAAAATTTAAAAATAATAAAATTGCGTATATATTTTTGATACTATTCAAATTGAGAAAAACTTTTTAATTTTAACATATAGGACCGCACCTTATATTCTATTGTTTGCTTTTCTGGTTTCTTAAGTGTTTTTTTCGCTGCCTGTGCTTGCTATAAAGAATATTTAAATTCAGTGGAATGTACGTATAGAGTAGATGATAACTAAAAATTAGACTTTTATTCTTCAGAAGAAAAAATGCGTAGTTAAAGTGATCGTGAATAAAAACTCAATGTGTACCTTTTCATCTTCTGGCACGGGTATTTTTCTTAATTTTGCGCCGAATAGTGCGTCCTATTAGGTATATTAAAATGAAAAAAATGGAAATTAAAATTTTTTTTACAATACATCTAGAAACACTAGAAATTTTTAATTGTTAATATTTTTGTTTAAATGAAACGTTATAACGCACCTTATATTCTATTGTTTCACTTTCTACTTTCTTAAGCGTTTTGTCACTTGCTGATGGTTGTTTCTACACAATATTTAGAATTAGACTAAAGTGTAAATATGTAAGTAGATAAAAAAAATACATTTTAACAACTTTGGATACTATAAAAGTTGTTCAATAGGCACGGATATCGTAAATAAGGATTTTATGTGTACCTTTTCATCTTCTGGCTTTGATATTTTTCTTAATTTAGCCCCAAACGGTGCATCCTGCCAAGTGTATGTGTACATGTGAGTATTTTTGATGAACAAAAATAATTTTGGATTTAAAATTAAAAACAAATTTTTTTAGAAAAATCTTAAATTTATATTTTTGAATAATCCGATTAAAGTAAAGCATACCTTGTACTCTACTTCTTGTTTTTCTAATTTAAGGGGTGTTTTTTTAATCGGTGGCGTTTTCTGTGGAGTATTTGGAATATGTGATATGTGTAAAATAATATATCTATTAAATAGAAATATTAAATAATGGTAGATCATAGAAAGTAAAAGTTTTTGGTAACTGAGGTAATATAGTTGGTACTATCAAATATTTGTTAAAGTAGTGCGCTCTTAAAATTAATTTGAAGAATATATGTAATAAATTTAGCAATAAGAGAGTATGCATAAAACAAATCTTCAATAATATATTAATAATAGAATAAATCATAAATAGAGTGAATGGGAAATTATGTACCTTTACTTCCTCGTTCTCATCAGTCTTTTCAGGTATGGTAGAATACTTTAGCTAGGAAAAATGTACGTTGTGTGAATTGAGGGTGTTGAATTGACTTGTAAAATGTTGTATTTCAGAATTAAGTGTATACCTTTGTATCTTCTGTTTTTCCAGGTTTTGCGGGTGTGACAAGGGGTATTTCCTGTTAGGAAATTACACATTGTATCAAGTTAGAGCATATAATTTTTTTCTAAATTATTATATTTTTTTTATTATCTTTTTTTTTTATTCAATTCATTAAATTTAAGATTAGGTATTTTTAATTTAATCAAAGTATATTTTCTATGTTAAGTTTTAAAATAATTTTAAATAGTTTTAAGTAGAGGTTGATTTTGAAATGTTGTTTTAAAGTAATATGTATACCTTTTCTTCATCTGGCTCTCCGGGTGTTTTATGTTTGATCAAAGGTGTTCCCTGTGGAAAGTATACGCAGCGTAAAAATTTTTGTGTGCAAAAATTTTACTCAAGACATATCTTGATGTAATAGAGTATACCTTTGTGTCGTCTGGTTTACCAGGTTTCTTTGATGCAATAGGTGGTGTACCCTGTTAAAAATGCATGTAGTGTATTAATTTTTTTTGTTTTTAATTCGTAGAGTAATGTGAATGAAATGTTGAAATGTGATAAAATTTTGAAATATTATTTTAAAATCAAGTATATACCTTTGATTCGTCTGTTTTACCAGGTGCCTTGGGTTTAATTGGTGGTGTTGCCTATCGAGAGTATTTAAAGTGTATAGTAATAGTTTCATTTTTATAAAATAAAATAATATTTATTTCAAATGAATTGGAAAGAAAATGATAAATTGTGCTACAAAAACTTTTGATGCTTTTAAGGAATAAATATTTGGGTATAGTAATATATTGATGTAATTAACCTTCGAATCTTCTATTTTTTAAGACTTGGTTATCTGATGATCAGTTTTAAATGTTGTCTTTTGTATTTTATAATAAAAACCTGATTCCAAAAGAAATTAAAATTCTTTCAGTAAAGATCAGTCATTTCCTATGTATTTTATTTCATAGAATCTGAATTGTTAATGAAAATAAAATATTGAGCTCTATTTTTTAATAAATAAAATTTATTTTTGAAATTGTTTTGAAACAATATTATAAGATAAAGATAAAAAAACCCAATATCGCAGAAATGAGCTGTCGTTGGAATAATCATTAGTATTATAATGACATGGCTCCTCTAATATCTTTCTCACATTACAGCTACTACTTAATGATTCAATGTAACAAAAAAGAAAATTTCATACAAACTTATGTAAATTTCTATATTTTCAACATTGAAGTCTCAAATATCTATGATTTCGGCATTCTAATTTTTGAAAAATTTATGCAATGGACATTCTATACTAGAAAAATCTACTTTGTTCAAGACTCCTAGCTAGATAGAATAAAATTTTTTCCATTATTTTATTCCGTATACATTTCAAGTCGTCCATAAAACGGACCCCACTAATCAAAAGTTAAGTAAACATACTATAGTTACGTAATTTTAGACTTGAAGTTATTAGAGCCAATGTAAACTGTATAAAAACAAATTTCAGGAACGCTTTCAATTATGATTAACAGTTCAAATTCATTGATGCAAAATACATTATGAATATCTGTTTTAGTCTACTGAAACGAAAAATTTTCTTCTTAGGATCGTGTGACCATTTTCATACATTTTTTAAAATGTATTTATGTTTGGCAAGCTTTTTATGCGTAGTTTTTAATGTGTTCTAATAAAAATATTATAATATCATAATTCTTTGGTGTGTAATATGTTATATGATCATGTATCTGTAATTTAGTGAAATGTATACCTCTGAGTCATCTGTGTCGTCAAATATCTTATCTTTTGATGAGAGTACCTCCTGTGAAGATTATTTAAAGAGTAAATATTGTTGAGTGTAAAATATTTATAATTTAAAAGAGAAGACTAATTATTTCCTAGCTGTGAGAAAAATGAAAGAATACCTCTGAATCTTCCCTTTCGACAGGTTTAAAACGAGACATGGATAGTTTGTCCTAAGAAAACGATTACTTAATGAAATTCGTATGTTTGTAATAAAATATTTAATATCAAAAAGTTTTCATCAGGGGAATTGTTTGATACAAAGAATACATCGTGTACCTCTTTTTCATCTTCAGTTTTTGGTTTTTTGTGTTTTGTTGATAGTGTACTCTGAAAGTAGTATTTATCGTATTAGCATGTATTTTGTGTGTTTTTTTCATAATTTTAATAAAAAAAAAAAAAATTGTATAAATTTTATTTGTGTACCTCCACATCTTCTTTTTTATCGGGCTTCTTTGATACAGTATATGGAACATCCTGCAGTTTTAATTAAAAGTTGTGTAGTATGTAATAAGTGTATGTAAAATGAAATTGAGCACAGTGAATGTAAATGAAAAAGTACCTCTGAATCTTTAATACTAGATTTCTCAGATATTTTAGATTTAGCGTATACACTATCCACATTATCCTGTAAAAGGTAATACAGAGTAAACAAATTTATAAACACAGGAAACTTTGTGCGTATTACGTTTTTGATCAGCCAGTATCAAAGATAATAGTAGTAATAATAATAATGTGTACCTTATTGTCATCAGAACTTTCTGATTTTTTAAGTGGGGTAGATTGTGTGTCCTACAACGGGTTGTAAAAGTGTCAGTATTTTAGGATGGCAAATCATATTTACTTTAAATGAGATTTATTTTGAGATGCTAAAAATATCTAAATTATACCTCTGAATCTTCCCTTTCAATAGGTTTTAAACGAGTGATAGATAGTTTGTCCTAAAAAATAATATTTTGTTTAAATCGGTGTAAGTGTGTATGGTGAAATTTTCAAAATCAATAAAAATTTTCATTCATAAATTATGAGCTAAGTAATGTTAACATGTACCTCTTTTTTATCCGTGGATTTTGGTTTTTGTTTCTGTTTTGTTGAGAGTGTACTCTAAAAAAATTTTTTGAGTGAGATTGTGTACTTTTGTAAAATCTTTTTAAAGACATTATTAATAAAATTATTCCACGATTACCTCCACATCGTCTGGTTTATCATGTTTCTTTGATACAGTGTACGGAGTATCCTACCAATAGAATTAGTGATGTGAGTATTTGTGTATCTGATAAAATCATGTAAAATACAACAAAGTAGAGTAAACATGAATAAAAAGTGTACCTCCGATTCTTCTACGTCATTAGGTGTTTTAGACATTTTTGGTTTAACGTGTACTGTATCTACTTCATCCTGTTAAAATTTTTTAGTTAGTATGTGTATATGGAAATTTTTACGATAAAAAATGTGTGTACCTCTACATCATCATTTTCGCTTGATTCCTCATCCATTAGATAAGGTGTAGTCTGTAATAATCATTGGTATTAGTAATTTGCGTAATTAAATATATTATAATAATTATCTGATTGGTCTCTTAAAAATATAAGTAAAATATATACCCATGCTTTATCTGTTATTTTTGATTTTTTTCGTGTAGTGTAAGAAGTATCCTGTGAAATATATTTGAAGTGTAAGTGTTGGTGTGTGTAAAGAATATGTGTGTAGAAACCAAGATGATAAGATTGTTGCAGGAAAAATATACCTCTAACTCATCTTTTTTGTTTACTTTCTTTGATTTTGTGTATGGTGACTCCTACAATGAGTTGTGTAGTAAAAAATTCATTTGTATTTTTAGAAAGAGTTTGCAGTTTTAATTATGAAATTTATAAAAAATTGTTTAAAAAATGTTTACCCATATGTCATCTTTTTTGTTGGGGTTTTTTAATGCAGCAATGAGTTTTTTCTGTAAATATTAATGGCTGGATAAAACTATCTTAGTTCAAATAACTTTTTTTTTTATTAAAAATTAAAAAAAAATCTACCTCAGAATCGACTGCTTCTCCTGGCTTTTTAGGTGTTAAAAATGGCGTTTCCTAATGAAAATATTTGTGTTGTAAATGTTGTGAACGTATAAATGTTTGTGACGTTTAATATTAAAATATCCACTACCGATTTTGTTTAAAGATACATGAGCCATAAATAGAGGATTCAAAAACAAGTAGGGTGTACACCCTAAATATCGCCTACTAAACTTTCAATTGATGAACAGCTTGAAATTATTTTAGCTTGCAGATATTATGAGTGCACTTTTTTAAACTTACAATTTGCAATTTTTAGCTTATACACCCTTTTTAATTTTCAAGTTTTTTAATACTTTGGGGTCTTGTATACAATAAATTTTACTAATTGTGTGTTACGAGTTCATTGAAACTTAAATGGCCGTACAGATAGATATTAAAAAAGCAAATTGTACCTCCGGTTCATCCCATTGTACTCGTTTCTTATGATCAGTGTATGTTTCCTGTAATATGTATTGATGGTTTTTATATTCGCAAATGTTTGTGTAAAAAGTATTGTGTCTTTATAATACTAATTGAAAAATACCTCAGATTCGTCATTCATACTAGATTTTTTCAGTTTAGTGTAAGGTGTGTCCTATTAAGAGTATTTAAATAAATAATTTTGTGGAATCGCTTTTTTTCAGGTCTGTAAGATGCTATGTGGAAAAAAGTGGAAAACAACATGAAAAGTGTACCTGAGAGTCATCTAGTTTAGAGTCATCTGATTTTCTCGATTTAGTGTAAGGTATGTCCTACAAAGTATAAATATTTATTGGTTTCTATAAATATGAAAAAATATAGAATCAAACAAAAATTTTTTTAAACATTAGGTATGCACCTCTGATTCATCTACTGCATCTGTTTTTTTAGTTCTTGTATTGGATGTTTCCTATAAATTTATGATTTTTTTTATTAATATCAATGTATGTATGTAATATATAACTTGTGATTAATGGCTGAGCTTAATGTAATTTATTTCAATGAAGACAAAAAGCGTATACCTCAATCTCATCTCCATATGATTTTCTAGATTTTGTGTAAGGTGTGTCCTATTAAAAATACGCGTAATTATTATCAACGTACTCTACCATAATTCAACACATTTTTGAATTATACATATTATTATGTACCTCAGGTTCGTAGTTTTTGCTGGATTTTCTCGGTGTAGTGTGTGTAGTATCCTACAAAATGAGTTTATTTTGTTTAGAAAAAAAAAACTTATATGTACAACGTGGGTGTGTAAAATGTACCTCTGTTTCATCTCTTCTGCTAGATTGTTTAGATGTTGTATGTGATGACTCCTGTAGGTATCATTTTTGTTTGTAATGTATTATGAACTGTGTTTTGTATATAGTTTAAAAACTATGGTCATAATTATAATTATTAAAAAAAAAAAAATAATCAAAAGTGGACAGAAATTAAGTGTACTTCATCAATATCGTTTCTTTTACCTTCTAACTTTATCAAAAAATGTATCCTTAAATAAATGATTGTGTTGTATAAAGTTCGAAGATAACGAAATAATAGAAAATTCGAAGTAAAATATTCTTTTGTTATGAAGTTCAGTGACATAGATCACAATAATAATTAAAAAATGCATAACTGTCGTCGAATGTACATCAACTTAGTCTACATTATTCAAGAATATTATTTGTACCTTTGATTCATCAGGCAAACTTGGCTTCTTGGGTGTAATGTGTGGTGTATCCTGTTGATATATAATGTAATTGTGTAAAATCATTTGTGTATTACAAAAAATTAAGTTATATTTTTCTTTCACGAATAGTAACTTTCAAGTAATAATTTGCTTTCAGATATTTTATACAATTTTTTATGAGGCTTAAAACTCAATATGCAACAATAATGTTATAAAAGATAATTCTCATGTATACCTCAGATTTGTCACGAACCTTGTCTGTTTTAACTTCTTTATCCTGAAAATATTTTTTATGTTTTACTTGTGATATGTATAAACATATGAATAAGTAGTTTGTTTAGTATACATGTGTAGAAATTGTTAAGTATTTTAATGTTAGGGTACAGTTTTTGATGAGATTTTTTTCGAATGAATACATTATAAAGTTATTGATGAAATGCAATGCTGTAAAACATAGAAAAAATAACTCTAACAAATAGCCATTTTGAACACATTCATATCAATAGTTTGTTTTTTTTTATCAATATTTTGTATATGCAAAAGATATAGTAGTTTTCCTACGAGTTTGAAAAGTCTCTGCGTGCGAACCGAGAGGTTTGTGGCCCGAGCCGAAGGCGAGGGACGTAACTAGGTTCGTAAAGGAGACTTTTCGAACGAGTTCTGGAAAACTGCTTTTTCGCCCGAGGAAGTACCAGCCTCCCAAAACCACCCGAGGGCGGAAAAATATTTTTCAAATTAGCTATTTAGTAAAATAAAAACATGGAAAATATTAGCATTTGTTATAATTCTAGTCGTTATACAGAGTCCTGAATTAAAATTGCAAGACAGCGAAATTGCAGAGGTCTAGTTGAAAATATCTGGAAATTTTTGTCAGTATATAGATAGTGGAAAAAGTTCAAGATTTCTTTTAATAATAAAATCACACATATTTTACGAATAAAACTTTATGCAGTTCAAAGAATAGGAAACAAGGTTTTTAGGATAGTCTAGTCATATTGGTTTAGCTGAAAATAAAAAACTGTAAAATATGTAGAGAAAATAGAGTTTTTAAATTTATTTGAGCGTAGCAAAATTACTTATGACCTAAAAATACTTTCGTGCAAGAGAGTGTTATTGTTTTCTTGAAAAAGTGTACCTTTGGAGTTTTTTTATCAAGTACATCGGATTTGTCAATGTCGTTATTATCTGAGTGGGGTGGAATGGAATTAATTGGCGGTGCAATTAATTCGTTGGGAGTGTGGTGTGTAATTTCATATGGCCCTGTGATTTTCCTAGTATCGTCCGATTCGACGGAAGTTACAGGTTTTTGTTTTCTAGTTATGACTTCAGATGTATCGTCATCTTTTGCTTTGGTAACTTTTGTTTTTGGCTTATTTTTACTTTTTGTATCGACATTATCAACGGTACCTTCAGTTTGTTCCACAGGTTCCTGTTTTTAAATTATGGAATTAAAATTAAATTGATAAATAAAAATCATTAAAAAAAAAGTAAACTTCAAATTTCTTACTTTGGTGACTTTTTTCTTGCTTATAGTTTTCTTTTTAATTGGTTTATCCTAAGGTTTTATAAAAAAAATTCATGAATTAATTCACGTTCTGATAACAAATTCTGTTATTTTTAGAAAATTGTAGCTCTGACTCGCTAAAAGTTTAAGTTCAAATTACCTCTGGTTTTTCTGTGTCTTTTTTAGTAACGTCTTGAGAAGACTCTTCTTTATCGTCGTTAACAACAGATTTCTAAAAAATTAATTACCCAATATTGTAACTATCCATCATTCTAATCATAATAATCTATATATTAAATTGACATTTCTCATAAGTTATTTACCTCAGCTCTTTTAAGCACCGAGCCGTTTTTCGAGGAACCTCTTTTAACTTTCGGAACATTGTTAGTTTCACTATCAGAGATATCTTTCTCATCTTCTGGTGTCAAACTATTTTTTTTAATAGAATCAAGTTTAGCTGAAGCTTTTCTAGGAGTATCTTTTGAACTTATACTTTCGTCATCAGAAATATTATGTTCATCTTTTAAAGGCACACTACTTCTTTTAATCGAACTACGTTTTTTGGGAAACTCTTTCTTGTTGAAATCTTTTGGAGGCTCACCAGGTTTATTTTCATTAGAGCTTTTATCATTTACTTTATCTGTGAGTTTAGCGGTAGTATGTTCAAAAGATTTGTCAGTTTCGTCATCTGGGGTAATTTTCTGCTAAAAATTAATCAAGTTAGCTCAGTAGTATTTTCCTTACACGTTATATTTTAACAGACAATTTTTTTTCAATGTCTACCTTGTCTCTAGATATTACAGGATTTTTTTTCACTGAATTTTTCACGGGAGAACCATTCTTTGAACTATCACCTTTTTTGCTAAGCGTCTCTGTAGGAGAGTTTTTTGTTACGGTATCTTCTGGTAGTTCATAACATTCGTCCTCAGATGAAACTATCTAAATATGTGTAAAAAAAAATATATATATATACATTGATGTAACGTCTTTAATTACTCAATTAGAGTCGATAAATTATTTATGACTTTTAGTGTAGTATACCTCTCTCTTAGGAATCAAGTATTTTTTAACTGGAGTCTTTGTGACCGAATCTTTTTCAAATGTATCTTTCACTTTTTCGTTGGTCTCATCATCAGAGGAAATCACCTAAAAGAGAGTGGTGTATAGTTTTAAAAGGCAAACTTTTTAAATGCGTTTAGAAGGAATTTACGATGGTCTGTCAAGTACCTGCTTTTCATGTATTACCAATTTTTTTTCTGGCATTTCAATGAGCGAATTTGTCTCATCATTGTCAAAGGGAAATTCATCAGTTTCTGATGAAACTATCTAAATACACAAAAAACATTTTCTATTTGTTATACTCGTAATAAAATTGTAATCGCTGATGCTAATGAAAAAATGTTGATTGTTTACCTCTCTCTTAGGAATCAAATATTTTTTGACAGGAATTTCTTCCGCTACATCTTTTTTGACAGTGCTTTTAGGAGTCCCGTCGGGTCTAAGATGATCATATTTTTTGATGTCAGTGTCTCTTAGATTGTCAGAGTTTTCGTTGTCCGAGGGTGTATCTTCGTTCGAAGTGAGAGAATCTCTTTTAATAAAATCTGTTTTAGAAGTGACTTGCACCTCTTCTTTAGGAGTGAAAGAGTCTTTGCTATTATCGTCTTGGGTAGAAGAATCTTTTTTCAACTTATTTTTGAGTTTAAAAGGACTATTTTTTTCTTCTTTGGGTGGAACAATATCTTTCGTGATTGAACCTTTTCTCTTTGTGTCCTCTGACGTATCGTCGTTTTTGTCATCTAACGTGATTTTCTAATTTTTTGATGGGTGAGAAAGTGTTTTATAAAAAATAAAAAAAAATGCTTATACAAATTATTTGTTACCTTATCTGGTATAAGAGTATCATGCCTAAGTTGATCTGGTTTGTGTGAATCTTGTTTCATTGATTCAGTTACGTAATCAACACTGGGTTCAAATGACTAAAAAAAAAATTTAATAAAACAAATACAGTTTTCGCGTGAAATGTATGTTCAAAGTGAAATTGTCAGTCGATCGTAGTGAATCCGTATAAATAGTGATCATGTATACCTTGTCTGCAGATTTGATGAAGTCTTTTTCACGTGGAACTTTTTCTTTATCATAATCAAATGTATCAGAAACGATTTTCTGCAAATATATTAATATAATTTGTATAAGTAACTAAAAAGTATGTAACCCATAAAATAAAAAAAATAAAAAAAACAGCAAAACACCTTTTCTTTAGATGTAGAAGAGTTTTTTCTGACAGAATCTTGTCTGGGGATATCTTGTTTTTCAAGTGCCGTATCTTTAATTGTTTTATCGGCCAAAGAACCCCGTTTATTAGTATCCATTGGTTTTCGAACATCATTACAGTCATCAATGTCAGCTTTCTGTGTCGTAATCGAATGTTTTTCAACTGATCTACGTCTCTGATGTTCAATTTTCTTTGTACCTTTAGGCGTTAAACCTCTATCAGTACCACGTGTAATTTTATCTGTATCATGTGTGATGTATTTTTGTTCAAGAGTATCTCTTTTACTTGTGCGTTTTGGTACTGTTTGAAATTCATCATCAGAAGAAATCGTCTAATCGAAAATAGTACATATATTATCATTGATTCGATGAGTATAACTCAATGATGCAGTTTCACTGATATATTTTTATATAACAACTCTGCTGACATCATTGAGCCATGGTGTCGGTATAAGTATTATTTATTGAACCATAACCGTAAAAAAAAAAAAAATTGTAACTCCTACCTCTCCCTTAGGTTCAGTATAAATTTCCTTGACAGTAACTCGTTTACCAGAGCCTATCGGTAACGTCTCACTGTCATCATCTGAGCCATAAGTTTGAACATAAGTTTTAGTAACTCTGACAGAGTCTTTTGGCATGACTGCACTATCATCATCAGCGTGATACGTTTGAACACAAGTTTTTGTAACCATGACAGTTTTTCTTCTACTAGAGTCTCGTGGTATGATTTCACCATCATCATCTGACTCATCAGATTGAATGCACGTTCTTCTAACAACCGTAACAACATTGTTCGAGTCACTCTCTTTTGGGGTCATTTTACTGTCATTGTCCGACCCGTAGGAGTGTACAAAAGTCTTTCTAACTCTAATAGTTTTGTGCCTACCACTGTCTTTTGGTACTGTTTCATAGTCATCCTCCGAACTACAAATCTGCAAGTATTTATTATTTAATGTATAACCAAATGAATTTTTAATGATACAGACTAGTGTGGCGTTTTTACTAAACGTTGTACCTGGTCTTTTACTATGTGAGATTTTTTTATTACTATCGTACTTTCTTCATCGTTACTTTCTGGTATGTTGTTTTCATCATCAGAAATATTATTCTAAAAACGTACGTAATTTAATGTGTATTAGTACTCAAGAAAATTTACCTATCATTAACCCTGCATTATTTAAAATCGGCCATTTTTGTTTAGTTTGTATATACTTAATAATAAAATGTCAAATGTTCTAAATAGTAAAAACAGTTATAACAAAAATGGCATACAAATTTTCAACGATTTTGAGTAATATTTTCATAGTGCAGAGTTAAAAGTTCTTAATCCCTATAAAAGTGGATATGACTTAAACCTTGTCTTTTAAAGTTGCGTAATTCTTTTTATTACTAAATTGCTTGGCGTAACGAATTTTATCGATATCTTTATGCACAGTGTCGATATCATCGTCTGGCTCACATGTCTGTAAGTATGTCATTTAAAAACATTTTTTAACTTAGTCATTTGTTTGAATTTATCTAATTGAAGCTTTACCTTTTTTTTTGGAGTATGCGTTTTTCGAAGTGTAACCGTTTTTTTTCTACTCATGTCTGGTATGGGAGTTAAAGTATTTTCGTCGTCGAAAAATTTCTAAAAATTCGCAAAACAAAAATTAAATTACGCACATTATTAATTGTGCCATGATTTTGGCTATAAAAGTTAAAAAATACCTCGTCTTTTAAAATAATGAAATCTTTGTGAGGAGCGCCTCGTTTCACATGATAAGTTTCATGTATATCTTCGTATGTTATTTTATTTCCCTCATCGTCGTCCGATAAAAATTTCTATGAACGTGACAAGTGCAAGTGTTTATAGAGAAAAGTACATCAATTTTTTAAAAAAATGTCTGTTAAGTACAGAAATTTTTTTTTTTTACATGTAGAAAAAATGAGTCGTACCTTGCCCACTGGTAAGACAATGGTTTTTTTGATTGTTACAGAATCCCTCCTACAAATATCTTTTGGGAAAACTCTATCTTCATCGTCCCCGTAACTTTGTTTATCTTTTGAGATAACATATTTTCTTTGAACAGAGCCTCGTCTGACGTAATGTCTTTCGTCAGTGTCTTTGGAAATCATTTCACTATCGTCATCCGTAGTATGTTTCTGGAAATGTGTTACGGAAACGTTTCGAATGCATTAAACACCATCAATATTCTATACAAATGCAAATATTCCGTCGAAAAATGCCTCATTTAACTTGATAAAATATTTTTTACGTAAATCTTGTTTATAATAGTTTTTAATGTCATAATTTTTAGGTAGCACAGTGTAATTGTTATCGGTGGTTGGTTCTCAATCATTATTAAAAAGCTTTGTTATAAGTTTAAAATTAAAAGTGGTACTACAGTGATTCACCATATAAATTATATGGTAAATAACAAAATAGATTTTGTTAATAACAGTTTACTTACACGTTGAAGAAAATACAGTAAAAATATAAGATACTCAGAAAAAAAATTGCCAAAAAAAATCAAAAATAAGTAAGAAAAGTACGTATTCGTCTAAGTCTATTGTTTACCTCATCCTTGTCCATAGAAGATCCTGTGCAGAGGGACGTCTTTTTTCTAATCACATGCCTTTTAACCGAATCTTTTGAGTACGTCTCACTGTCGTAATCTGAATTTAACTAAAATAGCGCAAATGTTTAATTTTCATGAGTTTTTTTTAACGTGTTTCATGGTATAGTGCATGCGTGTTTGTATCTGTAACATATTATGTTTCGGTCTGCAATTTACCTCTTCGATTTCAACAATAGAAGCATCCCTAATGGAATCATCTATGATTGAATCTTTGGGAAGCGTTTCATCGTCAGTATTGAGGTTCTAGAAATACATGAGGAGGTTAATTATGCTGTCATTATAATGGATTGTAAAAAACGTAAAAGTCCATTGGTGCATGATGTGTATGCTGCGATATTTTACCTCATCTGTTTCAACAATGGAACCTTTTCTAATGAAGGTTTTCGTAACAGAATACGATCTAACAGAGTTTTGGGAAATGGATTCGTCGTCGTCGGAGGTGACATTCTGCAAAAGGATCGAGTGGGGGATATTTAGGTAATTAACTGCTTTTTGATTACACAATCGACAGTGATCGGTAAAATATGTGTGATTTTCCATCTTTACCTCATTTGTTTCGATAATAGAACCTCTTTTAATAGTGTGTGTGGATACAGAACCCTTCTTAACATAATATTTGGGAACGATATCGCTTTCGTGGACTGGGTGATTTTTCTGAAAACGTTTTGGGTCTCATGAATAATGTACAATGATCATGACGCGACTTGAATATCTTGTTAGTCACGTTACGGTTAATTTTAATCGTACGCTTAGTCACATTACTCGTAATGTTAATTTTTAGTTTATATTTTACCTCGTCTTTTTTATCGACAGTTCTTTTAACGGAATCCCTTTTAACGGAATCCCTTTTATCTTTTTTCTCAACCTGACTTTCATCGTCCTTGACCTTTTTCTGAAAAAAGGTTGAGCGCACATGGTAAAATTTGTGATTTGATATTTAATTGTTTCAAGTGGATTCACATGCACAAGTGTACCTTCTGTTTGTCTAATAGTTTTGATTTTGGTCTGGGAATGATTTCGTCCTATATGTAAGGAATAAAGAAAAAAATCGATGAATTCCCCTGAGAAATCCGTACCGAATTATAGTTCTAACTTTAATTTACGCCCATCACGTAAACTTACCTTTTGGCTTGATATGGAGGATCGGCGACTCTCGGTGATACTCTCTTCCTCGGACATCTGTTGATTTACAAAAAAAAAAAAATCTCATTAAAATTCAGATCAGAAACAAACTCAATTTCTTTTGTAAAATTAAAAACGAGTCACACTTACCGTTGACTGAATGGATACTCTTCTCTGTGGTGTACCAGTTCCATCCTCGTGGATCTGCAATTTTAAATTATACACTGAAAATCTTGTAAATAATGAAAAAAAAATCAACGTACCGTTTCTTCTGTTCTACTGATGGAACTCCTCCTGCTTTCCGATTTGAGCTCTTCGACTCGGCTAACGGACTGCTTGCGAGTAGGCAGTTTCTTATCAGGAGTTCCTTCACGAGACGACTATAAAAAGTAAAAAAAACGGCACCAAGTTACATATGGTCCTCGAATTTTCTGCTTGCAATGATTCAAACACCCCCTCACCTCGGTTTTTTTCGTATCAGTCTCTTTCTTTTTGACGGACTTTCTTTTTTCGCTAACTTCCTCGACATTGTTGATGACTTCTTCTTTATCCTAATAGCGTTAAAAAAAAAAAAAAAAAAAAAAAAAGAAAGAAAGAAAAAGTTTTTCCACGATTACATGAATGATTAGCATTAAACATAGCGAGCATTCGATTCGCAAAGAAAACGGTTAGTGGCATAACGGCAAGCTTGAGTTAATCGACTCGAAATGTTCGACATGCATAATCTTGCGCTTGTCAGCTTGATTCATTGAAGGATTTCAATGCAGCAACAGAGCTATTTTGAATGAAGCTTACCAAATAGATGTAATGTAATTAAAAAAAAGAGTCCCTGCAATTGAGGCGCAAAGCACGCAAGTAAACGCGTTGTACGAGAGCGGAAGCAATGAACGTCAGCGAAATCGACCTACGGATGGAATATAATTGCGACAAAAAGTATATCGAAGCGAGTCAATTGATATATATATATACGGCAGAAGCATGTGTAAACGAGCTAGCCAGCCAAGTTAACTTTTCAGACCAAAAACAAGAAGCAAGTGGGAGAAGCTAGGCTCCATTTTTAGCCTGAATGAACCATCTATTGCGGAACGCTTGGTTATATTTGGACGGATTATTGGCTCGGTTCTGGTACATCCGTGCGTATCTGCGTGACTCACCTGAAACACACAAAACAATTGATTACGTTAGAGTGCTACAGCGTCTTTGATTGCAAACAACTAATTAAGCTGCTCAAGTACATTTGTCCGTCATTAAGGTTGTACACAATGGTACACGATGTCGGGAGGGGTGGGTACATCTAAAAATTCGAGTGTTACACACAAAAAAAGTGGATACAGAGTCAAGAGGTTATTGGTATCGGTGCGTTGTTTCGGTACGTGTGGGTGTCTATTTGAATTTTTTTTTTTTTCCTATACTTGCTTGCTAAGCTTTCGTGGTTGTCATTACCTTTTTGGTAGGAGGCTTGTCAATACCATTTGGCTGAGGTTCGAGCTCCTTGAAAATAACAAAGTTTTTAGATAATTAATTTAATGACACGCGCGTAGCTGCTTTGCGATTTCATGCGCAAGCCAATCTTAAGAGTCAAAGAGCCGCTTGGAGGAGCAAATGTTCATTAGGCTCGCCTCGGCTGTTGAGCTCAACGATTTCTTTTACACGATGCCAACATTATAAGCGCTAGAGTTGTTTTTGCCCCCCCGTTGCTGCAAAAGCGGCACAGCTGTTTCAAGCGATTTTGCAAGCGGAACACTGATCATTTTTTTTTTTTTTTTGTTCTCGGTACCTTGGTTTTCTTCTCGACTTTGGTCTTTTCCTCCTCGATCTTCTTACGCTCCTCGACCTTTTTCTTTTCGATGATTTCCTCCTTCTTTTCCACTTCGATCTTTTTCTTCTCCTCCTCCATTTTCTTTTTCTCCTCCACCTTTTTCTTTTCCTCCTCCTTTTTCTTTTCTTCCACTTTTTTCTTTTCTTTTTCTTCCTCGTCTTCGTCCTTCTTTTTCTTTTTCTCTTTCTTCTAAATTATGAGTTTTTTTTTTTGTGATTATTCAGGCTATTTTTCTCAACCAACACTAAAGCTTTGAATCATAAGCCGAGGATAGAGTTTCACATCTAAATCTTAGGTTTTTTTTTTTTTTTTTTTTTTTTTTTTTTACAATAGCGCGTTTGTATGAATTTGCATGGAATTGAGAAACAAAGAGTAACAACCAGGATGTTCCAATGCATCAAAGTACAACAGGAAACAACAATAGGTACAGGAAGTGGCTGATTTGTTAGTACAGAAAAACAGGAATCCTTGTTTAGCAGCAAGACACGAGGCAAAGCTTGATATGTATAATCGTTACCTCAACCACGAGTTCTGCCGAGGACTCGTCTTTTCCGGCTTCCGTGCTAACGACGACCTTGTACCGTCCAGACGACTCCTGCGTGGTTGAACTAATCAGCAGTCTGACCTCCTTACCGTCGAAACTTGTGCTGTACGTCTCAGAGGATTTAATAACCGTGGTATCCCTTTCGACATTAAAAAAAAACGTACGTGTATTTTAATATCGAATTAACTTTTAACATTCGAATAAAACGAATTTTTCGTTCACTTACTTGTACCACGTGACCTGGACGCTCTTGTCTTCCTTGAGCAGCACGGCATAGAACTCGGCTGATTTGCCTTCTTCCACGGTCTACCACAACATATTGCGTTGATTAAGAAAAAAAAAACAAAGCGAGGATTGATCCAACTTACGATGGACTTGAGTCCCGAAGCGAGTCTGGGCGGATCGGGCTCCTCAGGTATCTCCTGGACCTCGACGACTTGAGACGTGGCCTCGCCCTTCTCGTTCCTGGCCACGAGCTTGTACTTGCCCCTGTCGGCCTGGGACACTTGCTCAATCTCCAACTTGACGGCGAACTCGCCCTCCTTGACCTTCTCCACGTGGAGTTTGTGCCTGTCGTCCACCGCCACCGCCCTCGTCTCCTTGAACCACGTGCAGTCCGGCGCGAACTTGGACAACACCGTGCACTCAACGATCACCGTCTTCTTCTTCACGATCTTAATCACCTTTGGCTTCTCCTTGATCACGGGAATAACTGCAAAAAGAGCGACAAACGATCATTGACCCAATGGCCCATCGTGTGCGAAAGACGCGTCAACTCACTTTCAACGTTGAGCGTGAGGTTGGCATTGAGCTCGCCCAGGTTGTTCTTGATGTTGCACTTGTAGAGCCCGGAGTCGTCGGCGCCGGGGTCGTTGAGCACGAGTTTGACGTAGTAGACGTCGGACCCTTCCTCCACCACGCTCATCGATATCTTGGCCGACTCCTGGACGACCCGTCCCGCATTGGTCCACACGATGGTGGGTTTCGGTTTGGCCTTGACCTTGCAATCCATTATCACCACCTTGCCTTTGTCCGTGGACTGGATGCGCGGCTTCTCCACGAAGGTCGGTCCGTCGCCCTCCTGCTCCGGCTCGGCCTCGATGTTCAGGTTGAGGTTCGCGTTGCTCTCCCCGAACTCGTTCCTCACGTGGCACCGGTACGCCCCGCCGTCCGGACCCGTCGGATCCTAAAACCCACGTTTCGCACAGTCACAGCTGATGAGGACAAGCCGGGAAAGAAGAATATGTCAAACTCGTATACCTTGAGCTCGAGCGTCAGCTCGTACACGTCTTCCTGCACGGTGTTGCACTTGAGGCTGATCTTGGACGACTCCTTGACGGGGTTGTTGGCCCGGAACCACGTGACGTCCGGCTTGGGCTTGGCGCGGCACTTGCAGTTCATGGTGATGAGGGTGCCGGTCTCGTTGGGTATGATCCGCGGCTTCTCGACGAACGAGGGCGCGAAGCCCGCCGGGTCCTCTGCACCTTGACAATTCGCCATGAATCTCGGAGGTAACGGTCTCGCGCGCGGGGGTGGATCGATTTTATCGGGCTGTACACGCTTGAGTCACGGCTTGTCGGGAGACACAGCGAAAGCGCCAACTTACCGGTGCCGAGGTTGCCGGTAGGGTGTACAAGCGGAAAGTCGCATTAGTTGGTTAGTACGGTGATTAACACGTGTGACATGCACGGTGCTTTCATGGACGAGCAAAAATTATTGTTATCAAGCTGTTATTCAGATAAATCAGACACGGTCCAAGTTTCGGCGACTCAACCTTCATCCTCGAGGTTGACGGTTTAGCTCGCTCATACATACACGCCATACACAACTCGCAGTACTGAAAAAAAGGGTACGTACTTTCTCGTGAACGAGACATATTTATAATGACAACAGTGGTTGCGTGGTGGTAATAAATTGTATCATGCACAAGTGACCCGGCGATGCGTGCGATTCGTGCGAAAGGTGGTTGTGAACGCATTCCATAGAGTATAGGGGGTGAGAGAACAACCCAGAAACAGAAGAGTAGAGAGAGAAGGGTCGAACAGCTCGCAGTTTCGGGGGGAAAGAAAGGAAAAACAAAAAAAAAAAAAAAAAAAAAAAAAAACGAAAACCAAAAGATAAGGAAAACAATGCCCACAATGTGGAATAAACGGATGTGGCCAACACTTGCCTTGAAAGTTCAAGGATATGTTGGCGTTGCTCTCGCCAAAGTTGTTAAAGGCGTTGCAGCGGTACTGGCCGCCGTCCGACTTGGTCGGATTCGATATCTCGAGCGTCAACAGATACGTGTCTTTGCCGGTCGACTTGCGCGACATTTTTATCCGCGAGCTCCCGTTTATCGGCTTGCTACCCTGGTACCAAGTGATGTCCGGCACCGGGTGGGCCTCCAGTATGCACTCCATTATCAGCACGTCACCCTCCTGGCGTATCGTCGGCTTCTTCGGGAAACGCGGCGGCTTCCCGTCCGGTATTCTGTGTACACACAGTCGTGACGGTGGTGGTGATGGCAGATATATTTTTTTTCAATTCTCATTTTGTCGCATGCGTCTCATTGACTGACAAGAGGTTGAGAGTGAAAGAGAGACATCGAAGAAGAACGATAGGAAAGCTCCCTCCGTTGGAGAGAGAAAGAGATAGGGCATGCAGAGACGAGAGATGGTAAACGTGGAAGAATATATTATAGGTGTAAAGTTTGAGATTGAGAGAAGTCCTACTTGAGCTTGTCGCCACCCTCGAAGTTCAGATTGATGGTGGCCACGCCCTGGCCGTGCTTATTTTTCGCCACGGCTCTGTACTCGCCGCTGTCCATCTTGGCGACTTTGGTGATTTGCAGCCTAGCCAAGTAATAAAGCTTCTGGTCGAGTTCCATCGACATCTGATACCTGCTACCATCGTTGATCTCTTCCGATCCGTGATACCTACGGTCATTCACCATGTAACGCACACCATGTCCCGCGACACTTGTCCCTTTTTTTTTCGACTCGGAGGAACATCGAGTATGGGTTTTACCCTCCCCCATAAATTGGTACCTCCTCACCCTCTACACCCCTCCGTGCTCTCTCTCTCTGTGCTTCTCGACCGGCACCGATTTGGGATGGTTTCAAAAATAAAGATAAGGAATTCCGTGCAAAGCGGAGGAAGGAGCGTATCGTTTAATTCAAGTTAAACCAAAGAGTCACGCGGTGCCAATTATTGCCGTCTCTTGAATTTGTTTGCCAAATTGCGCGCGTGCCCGTGTGACGCGTAACCACGTCGTTGTATGTATACCCATTGCGTAGGTTAATTGACTCATCGGTGCCGATCGAGAGAGTATATGTATACAACACCGAGAGAGCGAGAGGAGAGAGAGAGAAAAGGCCGACCAGGTGCCATTTTATGCGGGTTTTTGTAGGTGACGGATGGGAGGGTTGTGGTCCATGCAGATATCGTATCTTTATCACAAAGAGTGGTAATCATAGAGAGAAAGAGAGAGAGAAAAATTGAAAGATTTGACGAAAGGGGACGAGAGCGTGACTTTGCGGTGTGGAGGAAGATTCTCTTACCACATGACACTAGGCTTCGGATCACCGGCTAATCGGCATTCGAAGGTTATAGTGTTGCCGTCGTCTGACTGCCGGATGACCGGTCGTTCGGTAAAAGTGGGCTTGATACCGTCGTCCGGCACCGGGGCCTCGTCGCCTTGAAAAATTTCAATCAGAGAACCAACTTGCTTGCCACAATAACATTATACATATATATCCTACGTGCGCTTTCAACGTTTTTGTTTGTCGTGAGATCCACGATGCAATTCTGGTACACACACTCCTCTTACGCCATTCATACCGATTTCTGGTTTTTATTTTGGATTATTATTATTATTATTATTATTTGCGTTATTTTGTTTAAAGTTTAGTTTATCTAAATCAATACGTTATACCTACTTTATGTATATGCACGATTGGCGTCATTAGAGTTCAAATTTGATTACACAGTTATTGCGCTGAGTTTGACAAAGTGTACACTTAATTAGTTTTGGCGCAAATACCAACGAATGTGATTAATTGAAATAAAAAATCTAGTACTGTTACGTAATACATGTTTACTTGAAGAATGTCACGCTATTTTTTTTTTCAATGAAAAAGGAACAAAAAAAAATATTATGAACTTGTGTTTAAATCGGCTGTGACATTCTTTGACTTTGTTATCATACGTTACGTTTTACTTTTCGATCGGTTAAAACGAAAAGTAAAAAAGAAAAAAAAACCAACTTTACTCGCATTGAGTATGCGTTAAAGTGTTAAGCAAGTACCACTCAAATGCCACAAAAACACCGCTTCTGACATTTATTGGCCACTGCATAACGTGTATGTACGCATTGTTATTGCGACGTTGACTGCAAAAGTCATAAACGCCTCTCTTATTATTCGGCTATTAACGAAAAAATTGTTACTCATTATCTGACCGAAGGCAAAAAAAAAAAAAATCGAGTTAATCGAGACGAAATCAATAATCCTAATTAAACTCCAGATTAGCGTTGGTAGGTGTGGTTTTATTTTTTGTCGTGTTGATAAATTTCGACTGTGCGTTTGAATGTCTTTGTATATTTGCGTATACATCTATTTGAACGCGTTCTCTTTGACTTTGCGCGTCTCTGTGGCGTGCGGCCGATTTACCCTCGTAATCCCTGTTTGTTTTCCCTCCTTTCGAAAGCGAAATTCCGCAGAAATAAATATAGCGGCGAGAAAAGTGGCCACTTTGTCCTTGAGCTTTATATTATTTTCATAAAATGAAGAGAAAAAAAAGAAAAAGAAAAAAATATATGTATACATATAGTGTTATTATTGTAAGGTTGACCCCGATTCTCCGTGTCCGACTCTGCCCCAGAAACATGGCGCAGAAGAGTGAGAAGCTCGTAAATAATCTCTCGGGTGGCTCAATCCGTCAGCCTTTGCCTCCCGAGTGTCCGAATCATTTCCCAATTTTTCATTTTTTCCTCGAAAATAAATGTATTATTAAACACGAAAAACACACACACAATTATGATGCAACGCGACGCATACTAATGCGCATGAATGATTATGTAACAACAATAATTTACAGCGTAATAATACATATGCGAGGTAAAAATTGGGCACGCATGGTTATCCTCAATCGTGATGTAGATTTTCTTATTTGTAAAATGTTTGTGCGGTTTTGCGTAGATGGTTGATCGTGTATAAATATATTACACTGCGTGTACCAAAGTCTCGTGGGGTATTATTAATTAACATGATGATGATGATTATTATATTTTTGCGTCATGTCAAACTAGGCGACTTACTGTCGAAATTGAGGGAGATGGTGGCGTTGGACTCGCCAAGCTCGTTCTTCGCCGTGACCTTGTATTTTCCAGCGTCCTCGACGGTCACGTTTTTTATTTCCAAGCTCGCAAAGTAGGAGTGGCCGTCTTTGTCGACGGTCAGCTGTTGTCGGATGCGTTTTTTTTTTTTTAGTCGTGCCAATACTTTCCATACTTTTTTTTTTTCAACAATTTTGTATGGTCATAAAACAATACGCTACCTTGTGCCTGGCGGAGTCTTGTACCAAAACGCTGTCCTGGAACCACGACACCTTGGGCGTCGGGTCGGCAGTGATGCGGCACTCGAAGACAAGGCGCTTTCCGTCGTCCTCCTGTCTGATGGTGGGTTTTTTCGCAAAAGTCGGTGCGATACCGTCGATTTGTCTGATGAAAAATTCATGTATACTTTTTTTGCTTCTCTCAAAATTACGATATCGTTAATACGTTTTTCGGGGGGGTTAAACTTTACTTCTGGGTTAAAGGGATGTAGATCACACCAAAAAACACACACACACACGTACACAAAAACAAAAAGTTATGTACGGCTATCGATGAAAACCTGCACACTGCGTGTTATGTAGTATGAAAAAAAAAAAAATAAATAAATAAATAAACGGAGGAAAACGCGGGCAATCGTGCGATTTTTCAACCATAAGCCAGACTCACCGTCTGTAAACAGGTTCAGCCGCTAAAATCATAAACACAAAAAAGAAAAGCATTACATGCCGCCTGGCGAGATATTAAGCGAGAATAGCAAACCCTACATTGTAACTCAGTGGTGGCGAGAATCAGTGAAAGTTTGCAAATAAAAAAAAAAAAAAAATTACATTCGGTTAATGGCGCCAAACAATGTTTCAATCGGTTTTGCCGATTACGAGAGACAAAAAAAAAAAATCCAAAACCTGCAGCATATTTGGGATCGTCATTTTTACGTGAGAAGCGGTATTGTAAGCGCATACGTGTGTGCGTGTGAAAGAGGCAAAAATAAACGAAAACGAAGAAGAAAAAAAAAAAGATACTTTGGTCCGCGTCTTCTAAACTTACTTTTCTCGAGGTTCGTCCACAGCTGGAAAATACAACGCACGTTAACGGAGCGATATAATCGAGAGACGTGGAGGATGTACGAAGCAAAAAGGAAAAAAAAACACTTTTGATTTCCGCGAAAAAAAAAAAAAAAAAAAAACATGCGCTACTGATCCAGCCATCGCAAAAAAAGAACTTGTGGTAAAGTTTATACTATAGCTATGCATGATGATAATGAAAAAAAAAAAAAGAAAGAAAAGTGCGCGTAAAAAGGTTGTACACTCACGGCTAAAGTTGAGGTTGATGGAGGCGGCGACCTCGCCCATCTTGTTCTTGGCCTTGACCTTGTACAGGCCCGCGTCTGTCTCGACGACATCGTCGAGCTCGAGAACGACGAGGAACTTGTTCGCGCCGACGCTCTGTATCTTAAAGTTGGTCCGGTCGTCCTCGTGCAGCTGCGTCTCGCCCCTGAACCACGCGAGCTCGGGCTTGGGCGCCGCCACCAGCTGGCACTCGAATATCAACCGGTTGCCCTCGTCCTCCTGGCGCAGTTGGGGCTTCTGCGTGAAGCTAGGCGCGAAATCCTCCGCGACCCCCATCCTCCGGCCGCTACTGGTATCCTATTGGGGGGGTCTGCCCCCCCGTTCTCCCCTCGGCTGTCTTTTTCCCCCTCAAGCCTGATGATCCTTCCCTCGGGACTAGTCCCGGTGAGCCCTCCGCTCTAGTGCGGCCCGCCGCCGTCTTTCACCACCATTCGGCCACCTTCAACAATTTTAATTAGCAACGCGCCTTGACCCTATCGCCTATACCCTCGCTCCCTTTATCCCCGCGAGGCTGCCTTCTCGGAACTACGACGGAATTACGTGCACCCCCGAAAGGCAACCTATCGGCGATACAGGGATTGTCAACAACCATATAATACACTGTTGGCCGCTAAAACATTTATGTGGGGATTTACGATTGGCGCGTGGGAAAGTAGGGAAAAGTCACGTTGGGGTGCGCCGAGCCAAACATTACCCAAGTAAACGAGCAAATTTCCGCCAGAGAGCACTTGGCTCGACGTCGCGCCGGTGGGTAAAAGGACAGGGAGATTCGCGCAAAAAAGCTCGTCCGCGGGGGTGGGGGCAAGAGAGACTTTGTTTGAGAGCTTGACCGATTGAGTAACGCGAGAATCCGTCTTCGCTCGGGCGCCTTCTATTTTAAAGATTCCCCTTTAAATTTGACGCGAATCAACACCGCACCTCCGATAGATCCCCGAGTGAAGTTTTTCTTTTTTCACTTAGAATCCACGGGAAGGAAAGCACGAGTTATTTTGCCGACCAAACTCGGGCTTAGCTTTTTTTTTTTTTTTTTTTCATTACGTGTAAATAGGTGGTAACGGCATACGCACGGGGTAGGTGGGCTTTTTTTTCTGTAAAAACGGCGGTGGTGCATCTAGCGCGACATACGAGCGCCGGTTATTGTACGGCACGAAAACTCTCTCTTGTGCCGTTTCTGCCGACATTTATTTCGGTCCAAGTTATTCTCGTAGCGATCGCGGCCGGCGCCAAAACTATACGTGCCTCTCGAGCATCGACGGCGAACGGAGGAAAGCGATATCGTACCCGCGCACGGGAGGAGGAAAAAAAAAAAAAAATCATCCACGAGGATTTTAGTTTCCTCGTTATACATCGATGAATATGTGCTTTTTGCCAAATAAGAATTACGTAAGACGGGGGCGGGGCTGGAAAATGGGTGGGTTATTTTTTAACGCCAACGAGGAGGATAATAAAGATAATCCAAGCTTGGCCGCTATTTTCGCCGGGGCGTTATTTTAGCCGCGCTCGGGAATTTCAATATCAGAGACTCGTGTGACGGGGGAGCGCAACTTTCGTCGCGAATCCGGGCCACCAACCGAAAATAAAGGAAATGGTAAATTTTTCGGCGATGGGAAAGCCGTTTGCCGGACAATTGAAAATAATCGTGCAATGAACTCTGCTGTCCGTAGCATCGGGAGGGATATTTATTCGAACCTCGAGACACCGAATTAGTCAAGTTGCGCGGTTTTGGCAAGCGGGCGCGGCAAAATTTACAACCGCGGATTTTCCGGCGGAAGGGGAAGAAAAAAAAAGAAGAAACACGTAAAGTAGGTGTATACCGAGATTTTTCACGCGGAATCTCGGGTTTTTCAGCACCGAAAATAGAACCTGTGTAGGAGGGGGAGGGGGGAGGCGGCCTACTCTGGCCCCCGCACGCATCAATGACAGATGGGGACGATCGAGCTTCTGATACACACGCATCGGTTGGCTGCGCGGCTCTTCTTCTTCTTCTTCTCTAAAAATAAGCGAACAACGAGCCCAGTTACCTACATCGGCCCCCTCCCTCCTCATCTCGGTCTCTTCGTCTTTTCATCGTCCTATACTATACGCGCTCCCCGTCTTTTTCGCGCAGCTGAGGAAAAAAAAAAAAGAAAAAAAAAGAAAGAGCGGCTTACGTAAAGCGACAGGTTTCGCAGAGTCGGCGAGAGCTTTTATCCTCTGGTGTTATGCGGAGTGCGAAGATGCGCGAGAGTATGGCTGTCGAGAGGTGGAGTTATAAATATATTTACGTATATTTATACACCGACTGGCTGCGGGTGATCGTTGATCCACAAAGTTGCATCACTGGCTCATCCCCTCGCACATACATTATATACACGCGCGCACCTTTTTACTTTTTTTTTTGTTGAAGAAAAAAAAAAAAAAAAAAAAAAAAAAAAAAAAAAAAAAAAAAAAAAAAAAAAAAAAAAAAAATCCAAAATGTGAGTGAATTGAAAACTTACTTGGAGGAAAAAGGGACCTCTGTAGTATACGTGTATCCTCGTCGCACACTGTATATCGTTGAACGAGCGGAAATGTGGATTCGTTGAATTTAGAGAAAAAACAAAAACAATGAACGAGAGAGAGAAAAAAAGAAAAAGAAAAAAAGAAAAAGACAATTGTTGTGAAATTTCGTGTTCGTCGTTGGGTCCTCGGTCACTTCTGCCGAGCACTGCAGCTTTTTATAACGTCGCACCCGAATTTCTCTCCTACTCTCTCTTTCCCACACTTTTACATCGACTCTTCTTCCGCTACTCTGGAGCACACTTTTTCTTTTTTTTTTTTTTTTTTTTCCTACGTGTACATCATCCGGCACCTTTAATTTTTTTTTTTTTTTGAAGGAAAAAAAAAAAAAAAAAAAATCAATATAAATCTGATTGAGTATCTCGGCACTCTCTCCCTCTCTCTCGTGGTCGGCTGTCCCTGTCGCCGGGGCCCCGCGCNAAAAAAAAAAAAAAAAAAAATCAATATAAATCTGATTGAGTATCTCGGCACTCTCTCCCTCTCTCTCGTGGTCGGCTGTCCCTGTCGCCGGGGCCCCGCGCGTCAACTAACCAGCCTAAATCTCCTTCTCCATCTCAAAAACTCAACCACCACCACCACTAGCGCCGCTGGCTCTGATTTCGCGGCAGCTGCTCGAGCCGCCGAAAGCTCTCCCGAAGCTTTTTCATTCCCATCCACGAGCCACTCCTCTCTCTCTCTCTCTTTTTTTTTATTTTTATTTTTTTTATTTCTTTTACCAAACGATCCCCGTCTCTGCCGCACTTGTTGGCTCGGGCGCCGAGAAGAGGCGATATCCGCAAGTCATAATAGGCCCCGCGATTGTATCATCGGGCTATTTTCATGTGTCGCGCTTTCTTCTTCTTTCCATCCGATTTATCGCGCCGGTGATCCACAACTCGCCGTCCCAATCATTGCAAATTTCCTCACTTGGTTCTTTCATCGGCAGATGCCAAATGAATAATTGTTTTACGCTGTACGTTGATTTTAACTACAGTCCATTTTGCATTACCTGCACGCAAGTGAGGCAATTTAATGACTGTATTCAAGATTTAAGTCTTTTTTTTTTTTTTCATTGATTTACAGAGTAAAAAAAAAAAATCTGTCTCCAAAAATCGTACAGGTAGGAAATTCAGCGATTGGGTCAATAATCCGATTCGCAAAACGTTACAAAAAGCTCTACTTAAACACGTGAGTTTTTACAACCTATACTAATAAGTTGACACGTTTGAGCACGTTATACAATATTTTGCAACTGACATCCGTATCCTACAAATATTTAATGATGTCAGAGTAGGTGCGTGTCAATTACACGCAAACGATGTGACACGCTTGTAAGGCAATAAAAAATCTTTCCTAAAATCCTTGGCTTTATTTGAAGGTGTTGACAATAATAACCCGTTTTGCAGTACAGTAAAAATCGCGTAAAGCTTTAATTAAAACTTTAATACCCCTTTCAACTTGTACGTAAAAATAATGGTTTGTAGAGCAAAGAGGGTGATACTCGTGGGTGAGGTAAAAGTTTTTCCTTTCTCAATTGTTGTCGTTTGGTTACGTGTACACAATGGCCCAGCCATTCACCGCCCATGGGGGGTATACATAGCTGGGCGGCTCAATTATTTCGATTAAATTATGAGTTTTGTCCGTTCCACTTGCGACAGGATAGCCCGGTTTAATTATAGCCACGTCAGATTTCAGCTGCTCGGCTGCGTCGGATCGCTCGTGTTCTCGGTCTGACTCGTCATCGCTTACACATTAGCTACAAAGTTTTTGGCCCGCACTGTTTGCCCACATTTTTCACCCGTTTGGGGGCATGCATACGTCCACGTAGGTTCAAGAGGGACATTTAAAAAAAAAACAACAACTACTCCGATTCACTACGCAAAGTATATAGATCTATGGGTGTTGCGTAAAGTCAAAGGGTACTTGCATACAAATAAAACAGAAGGAAAATAGCCAAGTGTATATAGAAATTACTTGCATGTTATTTTTTTTTTCTCATTCTGTTTTTGTTTTGTTTAACTACAAAAATGAAAAAATTGACGTGTTTGTTTAAGTTTTCCGCCTCGCGTTTGGTGAGCTTATTTTCGGAGCCGTACGGGGATCAAACGGTACGCACCTCTGCACACGACATTGAAAGTGTTATTTGCATCTTAAAAAATTCCTGGAAAAAAGTCGATCGGACACTATATTTTGGACAAGTTACGTAAAAGTGGTGCACATGAGTCAAAGTCTCAACACCCGATTGCTTTCACCCCCCGGGATAACAATCACAAAAATTAAATTCTCAATCTACAGTTGAAAAAAAAAAAAATCTGCTTATTACGCTTGTACACGTAACGAGGCACGCGCGTAAAAAGATACACAGCGATTTCTCTCGGCACCTCTACCGCAAAGTATTAATCACGAATTAACGAAAAGCCACGCATGCACTCTCGTGTACACGTATAGCGGGGGTGAAGTCGAAGGGAGGGAGAGAAGCAGAGATCGTATATAGCCGAGAGCGTTGAAAAAGCTGGCAGGCCGCGTTAATTGGAGCAGAGTCGAGGTGTAATTAATTGGGCGATCGACGAAGAATAATAACGATGCGCGTGTGCCCCACTCCCTCCGCCAACCACCCACCCTCATCCGAGTCATCGCTCATGCACGCGTATAGGTATACGAATGTGCCTCTCTCTCTCTCTCTCTCTCTCTGGGTTCTTTCGCCCGCGCGATGCGGCGAACTTGGGGATTTGGCGAGCTGGCCAATTTCTAAATATAAC